TTATTCCGAACGGAAAAACAACGTACCTATGTGTGTGGTGTATTCACGGAATCCCGATTCGGGATTCCGAAACGGAATTCCGTATGTATATGGCCGGCCTAAGTTCGTTTATCAGTTTAATCTATTATATTTTGATTTAAATGTTTTCGTTCTTTTATGTCTTTTTTTTAATACTTATTACTTACGAATACATGATCCCCCATTATGACTAGACATAATGTACACATTCATCATATGCACATCACACATAATAAGTATTTAAAATCTTAAAATATCAAATATCAATATAACTCAATTTTAAGTTTTAATAATATTTTCTTGTTACTACGTATATGTAAGTACTTATAGTCAAGATATTTATTAAAAATAGATTACCTATTATTGTATTTTTCTTCTATCAACTTTCGCCATCGTCATTGATAAATTTAAACATGCCTGTTTTGAATGATTGATAAAGATATATTTTAGTTCTTTTGGTTATCATTTGTCAAATCAGAGTCACGTTACTTACTGCACGTGTGTCAATTTATTTATTCAATAGAAAGTCCGAATAGCAGTCCAAATAGGCTTAGCCAAAATGACTTTCTACAATTGTTAGTAGGTAACTCAAATAGAAAACTATAAAAATGAATGGGAATAACATGTGAGCTCATTTTTAGGGTTCCGTACCCGAAGGGTAACCAACGGGAATCTATTACTAAGCCTGCGCTGTCCGTCTGTCTGTCAGCGAGCTGTATCTCATGATCCATAATAAGTAGATACTTGAAATTTTCACAGAATGTGTATTTCTGCTATAACATCAAATACCAAACAAAAATAAATTAAAAATTAAACGGGGCTCCACTACTAGAAACGTGTATTACGATGGTACCGAACCCATCATACGCGAGTCTGACTCGCACTTGGCCGGTTATTTCTATTAGCGTTGACGATTGTAGAAAGAGCAAATTGCCAAATAGCAGTGCGTTCACTTGCTCTTTACCGCTTTAAAGGTAAAGAGAGCGAGTATATTTACAGGCATTCCATCAATGTCAGAGGTGACAACGTATCTGTGGCCTTTCTTGTTTGAAGTTGGCTGCTTGTCCAAGTACTGCAGAATCCACTTACAAGCAGGTAGACTGTAAGTTCGTTTGTCACTTTAATTTAAAAAAAAAACTCATCACTATGTTATCTGTAGTGAAAATAAATATTTAAGTGAACCGCAACATTTATCAGGAAATTATCGTTGCAAAAAATGCATGACATGGACACGAGCCGGGTTACTAAAGTGGGGATAATGGCACTTCGCTCATCAACTTACTCGCATTTTTTGCCGCACCGCTGGACATAGGCCTCTTCCATTATCTGCTTATCTGCATCGGTGGCCTTTTTGTATCGCCATCCATTTTTTTTAAAATACTTAGTTAATTTTGAATTTGTAAAATTGATGTTTTGCAAGTTGTAGCAATAAATAAATATGTTCTTTGTTTCTTTGTTTCTGCATTCATTTCTTGCATTGGGTATATTTACCAAGGGATCCATTTCAACAGTAATAAACTCGAAAATCGGTAGTGGATAATGACAATGGAAATTAACTGAGAGTTCTATTTGAGCTCAGAGACTTGGAGGTCAACTGCTAAATCTGCTTCTAAAGGAAGTATATACGTGCTAGAGCCATGCTGCAGCTATACTAGTAGTATAGTTGGAGCACGAATGGCTTGACGAGCAAGGAAGGACCACGCTCTTACAGAATACCAGCGTAAAATAGTAGCTTAACATTACTGTGTTTCGTATGGTGAGTGTAGAGAACCGGAGACCCTTTTTACTGGAAAAGAGGCATTCAATCATGTCTATAGGTCACAGGTCGACTGTGTGCTCGTTTGTCACCCTATTCAATAAAAAAGTGGTATATTTCAGTATTTCTATGTCGTTATTCTGATTTTACGCTGATCGGTACTCGTGCGGAGATCGTCTAAGTTAAAACTGCACGCCCTTGTATTTTTGGCAGATTTTATCACAATTATCATGCCAAAAATAGTCAAAAAGATACAATCTACTATAAAAAACGTGGATGAGCCACGTCGCAACTATATGATAGTTGTACCCAGGACAAATGAGTCAGCGCGACCGGGGACGGATCACGCTCTCACAGAATACCAACGTAAGATAACGGCTCAATGCTGCTCTGTATTTCGTATGGTGAGTGTAGAGAACCGCACGCCCGTTTTGCTGGAAACTGAATCATTTCATCTGCATTTTTATTCTTAATTGAGGATAGACGTAGATGTCTATGGGCCACGGCATCCAATTACCATCAGGTGGGCTGTGTGCACGTTTGTTCACCCTTATGCCATAAATAAACACAATAGAAAAGGCGGGCAGAATTAGATTTTTTGATACCTATAATATGCTTAAGTAATATGATAAAAATCTACCAAAATCGATGGGAAGTTACGTGCAGTTTTAAATTAGGCGATCTTTACACGTGTCCGTGTAACTCTCATATGTAGCTATATCCGCATATGACAATATGTCAACATACGACAATTTCACTTTCGTAACATAGAGTAACGCGAGCGTAGACCATGCGTCATCAAATGGAATTTCATGTTTTCATAGTGCTATCGGCCTTATAAAACTTTTTCAAATAGGTTTATGGACGTTTAATTAATATCTATAACGCTAATTAGACACATAAATTCGGCTTATTAAGCTTTTTTTGAAACTGTTTACTCAAAAACACATGTGACTGACTGACTTTTAATGCAACTTATCTTACGTTACCGTTCTGGCAAAAAAAAATTAAAACAGTGTTTTGTGCCTTTGTGAAATTGCTTGTTATGAAAATATTAACTTCAGTATGTTTGATAATTATTTTATACAATTTGTTTAAGTCTTTGTTGTTGTGTTTGAAAATTCATAATCCTGTAAAGTGCAATGTTCGAAACATATTTTAATGCTCTTGCATATTAGGCGCTTTTAGGTACATTACTATAGTAATATTAATCATAATATGCAAAAAATAAACTGAAAAATCAAAAAGTGTACTCCTTGGTCGCAACAAATAAATGGCTGCAGTATCTGCCGGTTTTAGCAGAAATGTTTTGTATTATAAAAAACGGAATAGAGTACAGAAGTGTTTCCGTAAAGAAAAAACGGCATAATTTTTTCGTTCTCAAAATACATATATTTGGGTTATGGGTCACAAACTATTTCTAAAACAGACTAACGGACGACGACTATAAACTATAAATTGAATATTGGATTTTTATAATAAACACCCAATAGAAGCGTTCAACAGAAAAATATTGTAAGTTGACTAATTAGTGTTTTATTCTCATCACATTTAGTGCTTTTTACTTACATCACGTGTAAGTGCAATATAAAATTATTTAACCTGGTTTAATGAGACGGGTGACCTTGGCAAGTCGACAGTAAAAGTGATAAAAAAACACATTAAAACTTATAAATACACGGTAGAACCATGCTGCATCTACGCTATGGATAGACCAGAAAAGAACTACGCTCACAGTCACAGCATACCTGCTACTTTGTTTCATATGTCGAGTGGACCCTTTTTACTGGAAACAATTTATTCCATCTTAATCCTTAGCCATGGTAGCTCAGATGGTTACCGCTCGCGGTATATAACACAGTACGCGAGCAACCCGGGTTCGATCCCCGCCAGTACCAATGAAATTAATTGTAATGTTAAGTGCTGATTTACCATGTGCTCTATGGTGCGTGTTGGCGAACTTCACATGCCTTCGAAATACAGCACTTAAAATTACAATTAATTTCATTGGTGCCGACGGGAACCGAACCCGGGTTGATAGCGTATTATGGCGAACGATTAGATATCTAGCACGGCTCTACATTAAATTAGAAACACAAGTAAGTTATAAGTTTAAACGAATTAATAATTTTATAATATTGTATAATATGAAATTATAAAAATTATATTCTCTGGATGGTGGGGCTCCTTTTGTGCCTAGGGGTCCGTCTGGTACCATACCACCTATTTCTGACGATAAATGTCAGTGCTTGCATTGCTTTGTTGCAACCTGAAGGGTACAGAGCCAATATAATTAGAGATTGTGTGTGTGAGGCATCCCATCTCAGTTTCTTTGTATGAAGTTAGCTGCAGGTGTCCATGAACTGATGCAGCCAATTACTACACTCTGGTGGTCTGTAAGTTCATTTAACACTCCAGTTTTATTCAAAAAAATAACAAAATAATATCTAATAACAAAATTAGGTATTATTGTTAATATGATATTAATTGTTATTCCAGTAAATTGTCATTTTCATAAATGCTGGTCACCCTACATTTTTCGAGAGTAATTTTAAACTAATTCCATTCATAATAATCCACTGCGGCCACCTGTCAGCTAGACATCAGCTGTCTCAGAATCAGGTGCATGATGACACATTCACATGAGCATGTGGATGTAATTTACGCGGTTAGTTACGGAGCTCTATACTACCTACTTATACTACATCATTTTGTTATTTATTAATATTATTTAGGTATATGGTAGAGCCATTTTATTGCCTAGGAATCGGTCTGTATAGATACCACGTACTCACTCCTTATACTGCCATACTAATACTATCTCCCAGGTGACAGCGCATCTGTTCTTAATTTGTTGTTTGATTAATTGCAGGTGGCCATGAAAAGCAGTAGCTAACAAGATAAGTACCTACCGTAATTTAGAAAACGATATTTTTCTACGTAAACATATAACGATGCCATAAATAAATTATTGATAAGGACTCTTGTATACGTATATATTTCCTTATTATTCGCATAAAAACATGTAACTCCTATTTTTGCAGTTCTAAAAAACATCTTAATTGTAGGTTGCTTGTAGGTAAACACATAAGAAATCGTCATAACATTTCGGTATCATAAACACTATTACATATTGTAAACTTAAAACCAATTAAGTATATGTTATATACACTATCAGATATCACTATGAGAAATACCCCAATATTTATAAATAAAAATAACTTACTTTTCATACTTTACAGCATGTCCGTTTTCCTCCCAAAAATGACGAGATTCCATATTCAAAATTATGTCACAAGACAAAACAAACAAATGATCACTATGTAACCACTATACACTCACGATAATATATATAAAGATAATCATAAAACACAGATCACTTGTGTCACAATTTTTTCCTTGCCACTTTTTACATTTTACACTATCATAGTAACTGAAATCCATTCTAGTTGAATTAACACAGTACCAGTACTAAATTTTGCGTATTCATCAATGAGCTAACCAACATTTACGTCATAACCTCGAAACGTTCTCAACGCGTCTGTGAGCTACGAGTGTGCGACCTGCGTCTGTGAGTGAGAGTAGTAAAGCTAGAGTTGGTTCGAGCAGGGTCGAGCAAACGCCGGCCGGCTTGAGTCACTCATGTGACATGTGACTACGATCGGTTATCGTCAAAATAAGGCACGGCACGGGTATTGGAATGTGCAAATTAGGGTTACCTATCACGAGATTTTACCTCTTATGAACGAAATTTTAAAATAATATTTATTGAATCAGTACTAAGAAAATAAAAATATTTTAATTTTCATTAAAACGATTTCAAATATTTAATCCTTTAGCTGTCCCGTGCACTACTTAAAGGTCATTGGTGTTGTCTTACTATTGTGTCTGAAAATCGGACAGTGAAAGTGTTAAATATTGCTATTATACTATACTGTAAGAAATTATTCCACTTCTGATGTTAGAAATTATTCTCAAAATTATTTAAATAAAAGAACACTACTCGGTAACAAGCCCTGCTTACTATCAGGACCCCAATTACAGGATAACACCAAAGTATACTCGACCTGGCAACATACAACGCACGCACCCTGAGGACTGACGAGAAGATTGTGGAGCTGGAAGAAGAGATAGACAAGTTACGCTGGCATATTATAGGATTGTCCGAAGTCCGAAGAGAGGGGGAGGAAACGGTAATCCTCGAATCCGGCAACTTGCTCTCTTACCGGGAGGGCTGACCATCTGTCCCAAGGAGATGTCGGATTTATCGTCAAGTCTCTCTTTAACAACGTTGTAAAATTTGAGAGCGTGTCGACGAGGGTTGTGTACCTTATACTCAGAATCACCAAACGGTATTCGCTGAAGTTCATACAGGTTTACTCACCAACCTCGGCACACCCCGATGAGGAGGTGGAGGAAATGGATGAGGATATCTCTAGAGCCATGCATTCCTCCAAAACCCAATATACGGTGTTAATGGGAGACTTCAATGCAAAATTAGGCACAAGAGAGAATGGTGAGCTGAAAGTAGGGAAATTTGGAATAGGGCAACGGAACCCAAGGGGCCTGGCAGCTGGCCGACTTCATGGAGAAAGAGGGACTCTTTATGATGAACTCTTTCTTCCAGAAGCGGGCCCACAAGAAGTGGACCTGGTCGAGCCCCGACGGTTCGACAAAAAATGAGATTGACTTCATTATGACGACCAGACGACAACTGTTCAGTGATGTCTCAGTGATCGCGAGGGTGAAAACCGGCAGCGATCACCGAATGGTTAGAGGCACACTGAACCTAAACGTTAAGTTGGAGAGGTCTCGTCTGATGAAGTCAACGCTCCGTCCCCCTCGTGCTTTTATCCAAAGTACCGAAACCTTTCAGCTCGAGTTACAAAACCGTTTTCAGTGCCTAGAAGACTGCAATGAACTGGACGATATGAATGATAAGCTCGTGGAAACTGTCCATGCGGTCGGAGCTAAGTTCTGCAAGACCCGCCGCAGAAGAACACAAAAACTCTCCGATCACATTCTTAATCTCATGGTTGTTAGACGGGAGATGAAGCTACATTCTTCAACAGATTTGACAGCATACAGGCAACTGAACAGACAGATCTCCAAATGCATGCGGCGGGACTTACGCAACTTCAATACAGCTCGTATTGAAGAAGCGATCGAGCGGAACCAAGGCTCCAAAGTCTTTGCTAGAGATCTGTCTGCCAGAAAGAGCCAACTGTCAAAGCTGAAGACAGAGTGTGGCAGCATCGTTTCCGGGGCACCTGAGATTTTGAATGAGATTGAGAGGCTCTATGGGATGCTGTACACGTCATCGTTGGAGCCACACGCAAGTGTGAGTAAAGATCCAAGAGCGAGTCTTATCCGACCCTTGTTCGGTTACTCTTAAAATTACAGACTGATGCCTCTTAGTCGCCTGAGCGATACTTCTTCTTCTTTTAAATTATGGCTTCTCTTGATAGAATTCTGCCAGTGTCAAGTCAGTAATGGGAGTGACAAGTAATTATTTATTACATTAAAGAGTTCTCAATTTTACGAGTGGGTTCATAATCTACAATAAAAGACGTCACATTTTTAAATACTATCACCAAAATTGATTAGTAATTTTCGTGCATTAAGTAAAAGATACCTACTTAAAAATAATTAGTGAATAATATGTAATTCAATATAATAATTAAAAAATCAGAAAAAAGTGTAGGTGCTTGGTTAATAACAATTAGCGTTACTAACCAAGCACCTACACTGTTTAGACTAAGTAACCCAAAAAAAAAAATCTTTTGATAGTCATAGCAATGAGTATCGATTAATTTAAAAAAAACACCGCTAATCATACATCAATTACTAAAATCGAATTATGAAATCCATTGCCAAGTCAATCTATGTATTTAAAACATAAAAGATTTTTAATATTGATATGGTCACTATAAGATGTTGTTAGGTTAGCTAACTACGTAATAACTTGAGACAGAAGGACCCTTAAGTAGGGACTGCATAAATTAACCGACTTGGTACTACATGGATCTCACAACTTTTTACGGTAGAAGAACTGAACCTAGGGAAAACCTGAAGTTTAAAAGTTGTATTATTATAAAAAGAAATTTCTTGGCTGTTAATAGTGGCGTAAGATAATTAATAACCTATTTCAACACAACGGCACAGGGCAGCTTCCAAGGTGTGAAGTTCTTTTATCTTGGTAAAGGTCTACATTACAGTGAATAATTGTAGGATAATGAAATCTGTTCAATAGCTTGTTATTATAACACTATTTTGGATTTATTACACTATCTATTCCATTTAACATTGTATACGTAGTAGTGCCATGCTGCAGCTATATTAAAGTTGTAGCACTAGAATTGCAACAACACAGTGGATTAGCTCGACCGGGGTGGGACCACGCTTTCACTGAATACCAGCGTGAAATAGCAGCTTAATGCTGCTGTGTTTGTTATGGTGAGTGTAGAGAACCAAAGAACCTATTTACTGGAAACGAGGTATTCCATCTTAGTGTTCAGGGATGACAATGTATATATATTTTGTGTCTTAATCGACAATAGATGTAGATGTTTATGCACCACGAGATCCATTTACCATCAGGTGTATTGTGTGCTCGCCTTTATTCTATAAAAAGCCAGCACATTATCCAAGTGCTTCAGAATCACTATAATAGAGTGCTGGAAGTTCTTTAGTACATACAATACTTATCACATAAGAGTAAATTCAAATAAATTTATTCGTTTGCGATAAATGGGCTACCATAGTTCTCAATAATTTCAACAAACAACTCGTTGGAATATAATTTTTAATCTTTATCACCAATAAATTATGTGTATACTTTATTGTATTTTATTTAAAATAGATACAATAATTGCAACCCGTAACTCATTCTGATATAAAAAAGATTTCACAACCGTGTCACATTTGCGTGGTTATTGATCTTTGCTCTAGCTACGCTTGCATGCACGTGACCGTCTCCACCCCCTCCCCCACCCCCCACCAGACCAACATCTTGTCATAATCAAAAATCAAATTGGGGCACTATTGGAACTAAATCATATTATTTATTCTATGAGTACTTTATCATCAGCTCCTTATCGCGCACTGCGGGGCATAATTAAATAAAGATAATTAATTACTAAGAGCTTACTTACTTTTACATATACCTAGTCAGGTCATAAGTATTGTCACACAGTAAAAACTTTTCTTTTAGAATGCTGGTCACAAAAAAGTTTATTGAATTCGAATTTCGAATTGTTCATGAAAATAAAACTATACTTTTTAGAATTTTTCCCCTTTTTTAAATATGGAGTGGACGCTTAAAGAAGACCGTGTTGCAGTTATTGCGTTGCAACGTTGCGGTTACGCGCCAATTCAAATTTTTGACAAACTGAAAAATTTGAATATATCCAAAAGATTTGTTTATCGTACCATCAAACGATACAATGAAGGCTCTAGTGTAGATGACAGGTCAAGAAGTGGTCGCCCTCGGTCTGTTAGGACTCCAGCAGTGATAAAAGCTGTGAAGGCGCGAATTCAAAGAAATCCCAAACGTAAGCAGAAACTGTTGGCCCTTCAGATGGGGTTAAGCAGAACCACGGTGAAAAGGGTGTTAAATGAAGACTTAGGGCTTCGGGCATATCAAAGAAAAACAGGACATCGTTTGAATGCTCGTCTAATGGACCTGAGACTGAAGAGATGCCGGGCTTTGTTGAAGCGGTACGCGGGAAATAAATATCGGGAAATTCTTTTTTCGGATGAAAAAATTTTTACCGTAGAAGAGAGCTACAACAAACAAAATGCTAAGGTGTACGCACACAGTAGTGAAGAAGCGAGCAACCGTATTCTGCGTGTACAACGAGGTCATTTTCCATCCTCGCTCATGGTATGGTTGGGAGTTTCTTATTGGGGCTTAACAGAGGTACATTTTTGTGAGAAAGGTGTAAAAACGAATGCAGTTGTGTATCAAAATACAGTCCTGACGAACCTTGTGGAACCTGTTTCTCATACCATGTTCAATAACAGGCACTGGGTATTCCAACAAGATTCGGCGCCAGCTCATAGAGCGAAGAGCACACAAGACTGGCTGGCGGCGCGTGAAATCGACTTCATCCGGCACGAAGACTGGCCCTCCTCCAGTCCAGATTTGAATCCGTTAGATTACAAGATATGGCAACACTTGGAGGAAAAGGCGTGCTCAAAGCCTCATCCCAATTTGGAGTCACTCAAGACATCCTTGATTAAGGCAGCCGCCGATATTGACATGGACCTCGTTCGTGCTGCGATAGACGACTGGCCGCGCAGATTGAAGGCCTGTATTCAAAATCACGGAGGTCATTTTGAATAAACTTTAGTGTCATAAGAATCTATGTTTTGTTAAGTTCATTTTGGTATATAAATGGTTACATAATGAATAAACTTGTTTCAATTATTTTATATTAAACATGTGACAGAATTTATGACCTGACTAGGTATAATATAAGAGGATATCCTGAGTAACTGACTATAAACGCACAGTCCAAACCGCTATAGGTAGAAATCTG